TGAAAGTGGTTTAGGTAGATCACATGGTATTCCTATTTCTAGTTTTGTGAGAAACCTCTAGATTTAGTTCCAAAGTGGCTGCACCAGTTTACACTCCAAATAACAATAAAGTGTTCCATTTTCCCTACATTTATGCCAGGATTTGTTATCAGTTTTATTCTTGTTTATATAATGTGATTTCTATGATCGTTATCTTTGTAGCTCCATTAATTAATTAACTTAGTTAGTAGTGCTTGGGATAGACTTAGGGACTTGAACATGCCAGGCAAGAGCTATGCTACAAAGTCATATCTTCATAGTTATATTATCTTTACTACAAATATATAATTTTTGACTAAATTAGGAGATAAATAAATTGCATTGTAAAAGTCTAGGGGTACAACTAAATTTTTTTTCACTTTCTGCTGAAAACAATAAATGTTCAAATTTCTAAATAATCAATTTATAAATGTTCTATAATAAAACTGAAGTTATTTAAAAAAGACAGATGCCTCAGTGGTTAAGAGCACTGACTGCTCTTGCAGAGGACCTGGGTTCGATTCCCAGCACCACGTTGTGGCTACAAACCATCCTTAACTCTAGTTCCAGGGGAATCCAAAGCCCTCTTCTGACCTCTGTGGCATTGCATGGCACGGGTGCACTCACATACATGCAAGCAATACACTCATATGCATAAAATAATAAAAATAGTAAAAAAATTTTTAAAAAGACAGAATAGAGATGAAAAAGGCTAACATATTGATCACTAGGAGGACGCAAAATAAATCATGAGATATCATCTTTCCCAATCTGGATTCTTTGAATGCTTATTACTAGAAAGCAATCATAACAAGTGTTGGTAAGGATGAGGAGGAAATGAAATTACTTTCCTACTGTTGATCTGAATGTAAAACACAAGGAAATTGAATCAAACAAATTAAAAACAGGATGACCATGTGTCACCAGAGTTCTCTCTGGATCTCTTGCACTATCAGGCAAACCATATAACATATCTTTATGCACATTTATTATTATCGTTGGGGGGGAGGGGAGTAACTCACAAAGAAATGAGCGCCCAGGGACTAGCTCTGTGCTGCTCAGCTGCCTGCATGGGGCTCAGAGCCCACCATATCAGATCACTCCCTAGGCATGCCCATAGCCACTGCTAGCTTTCGCCCATGCCTCATGGACCAGCGGTCTCACCCCAGGTCCATAAGTGCCAGGGCATTCTGTCCTTGATTACGCCCAGCTGCTGTGCATTCCCCACGCCTGCCACTTCACCCCGTTCCTGGCACCACAAGCCCCTCCTTTCGCAGCTAACTCTCCACAGTCAATTCTCTGCAGCAGACCCCACACCTTGGAGGAACCAGAACCCTTGGAGAACACACCACATGACCCATCAATCCCCCAAACCCTCTGGCCATTTACCCAAAAGGTTTGAAACCAGTGGATTGAAGAGAAGTTTGCAGCCCATGCTCATTGCAGCACTAAACAAAAGGCAAGCTTTGGAGTTACCATGTGTCCATCAACAGATGAACCTATAAAGAAAATGTGGCACACTGTGGATGGAATAATGGAATACTACTTATTGTTTCAAAAAGAAAGATGTATTGGCATTTATGACAACATCCATGGAAACAGAAAGCATTGTGCTAAATGAAGTAAGTCAGGCTGAGACAGTCAAGTGTCACATGTTACTATGCATATGTCATCTAAAACAAAAGAACTCAGAAAAAACAAGAGGGAAAGAGTCACAGAGGCTAGAGGCAGGGAGTAGACAAAATACCAGAAATGAAGAATCATTGTTTAATTTTTATTATTTTCAATACAATTATTTTTATGTGTATTGGTGTGGGCATGCTACAGGGCATGTGTGGAGGTCAGAGGACAGCCATGAAGGTACATGGGATCAGCTAAGGCCATCAGCCTTGGCAACAAGCATCTTTACCTGTAGAGCCATCTCAGTGACCCCTCTTTTTTTGATATATTTCACATGGGATCAGCTAAGGCCATCAGCCTTGGCAACAAGCATCTTTACCTGTAGAGCCATCTCAGTGACCCCTCTTTTTTTGATATATTTCACAATATGATAAAATAGTTAATAATAAGTATTTATTAAGTATTAAGTATTTATTAAGTATTGAGTATTTAAAATACTGAGAGAAAATACCAAGC